ACAATTAAAAAATGCACTAAACAAAAGCTCAAGCCAAAACCCCAACTATAACAATGGAAAGTGCATAGCTGCTTATCTGCCCCTTTTTTTTTGTTTTTGGCTGCACAATTTGAAGATGTTTATCATAACATTTTTGGACATCTGATAGTAAATGACCACCTCAGGCAAAACTGTTTTTGTAGGTTAATTAAATGTTTTTTATTCATTTTAATCCTGCCTGGAGTACTTCAGACAATTTTGTCACAAGTGGGTTGATGCAAGAATCTGAATATTCGGTCCTAAATCATTTGATCTGTACTCATTAAATATTTATATTTACCCCATTTTTAAGCATTACTTACTTTATCTGGGGCTGACTTTTTAGCTGCTTAATTTCAATGTAATAATGTGTGTGTTCTTCCAGCTTCTATGTTAAAAGAAAAAAGGTTGGACTTGATAGATCAGGTCACTTGGTCTTTTTCTGCCATCGCTCTTATATATTTCTGTGTATGCGGGACACTATGGGGCAGAGTTACTAAAACTGGTGCACACAAAATCTGGTGCAGCTGTGCATGGTATTCCATCAGCTTACAGCTTTTATTGTCAAAGCTTAATTGAACAAGCTGAAGTTAGATGCTGATCAGTTATTATGCACAGCTGCAGATTCTGTGTGCTCCCATTTTAGTAAATCTCCACATATGTGTTAACTAGAGGGAACTGTTTTTTTTAAATATTGTGATCTTGTTATATTATTGATATTATGTACATTTATTAGATAGTAGAAGGCATGTCTTATCTACAATTTGATACAAAGCCACACTAAATAGGTCCATTAGGCACTTTCAGCTTAGTGTCCTTGCAAGTAAGTTTTCCTTGGAAACAGTTTGAGCCACCAAGACCACTTGCAGCTTCTCACGTCAGCACAAAGTTATGACAAAGCTTAAAAACGAGCAAAAAAAGGAAAAGGAAGTGCATCCATCTAGTGCAGTGTGATCACTTTATTTATTTCAGGTGTTTATATAGCGCCATCAATTCACGCAGTGCTTTACATAGATACTGTGCATTCACATCAGTCCTAATCTATTCAAGTAAAAGCAAATAAACAATTACACTCGTGTGTTCAAGGAGAGATGCCCTTTGCCACCAAAAGAAAGCACTACCTGTCTAAAAAAATTATAACAATTTAATTTGGGTACAGTGTTGCATGAATGAGTAATTGTCATTCAAACTGTGTCAAGGTTGAATACTTAAAAAATGCCCTGGGCAGGAAGGGGGTGAAAGTGTCCAGTATTAATGTGGTTAAAGTATATGTGAACCCCCACCTTGTAAAACAGCCCATTCAGTTTGAAGCAAAACATTTTTGTATATAATACTGAACATGTTACCATTTTTCTCGGTAAATATATTTCTAAAGGTGCTATTGACATGAAATTTTCAGCACATGTCGGTAACAACCCATTAAATCCATACATACAAAGAAACCCAAACAAATAAGTTCAGAAATTAAGTTATGTATAATAAAATGGAATGACACAGCGAAAAGATATTTAAGAAATCTGAAATCTATCAGTAATTTGAAAGCAATCCTGCCCATTGTCAGTGCAAATTAATATCAGCTGGTTCTGGGTCTCAACTGATGGCCTATAAAAAGGTGTCTCATTACCAAAGTCTCACACAAAAAAGCTCTCATGATAGGTAAAAGCAAAGAGCGCTCTCAAGATCTTCACAACCTTATGCAGGCCATAGACGGGGAGAAAAATGGCCGATTTTGCTTTTAAAAAAACGAAAAATCGGTCGTTCAAGCGGCCAACGTTACCAGCAATGGTAAAAAAAATCGGCCGATTTTCATCCCGTCTACAGCCGGCAAAAAGTGTCCCTGCAGAGAGCTCTGCTATTTCTTTGACAGTTCTTTGACATATATAGCGGTTGCAACAATGTATCTATTTGTATCCATTTAGGATACAGATGTTTTTATTCGGAAACAAATAGATATACATTGTTGCAACCTCTGTAAATGTCAAGGAACTGTCAAAGAAATAGCGGAGCTCTCTGCAGGGACACTTTTTGCCGTACTGGAATTCCTCTTATTTTTCATCCTTCTTCTTCCTCTTCTTCATCATCATCATCTTCTTCTTCTTCTTCTTCTTCTTCTTCTTCTTCTTCATCATCATCATCCTCTTTTTCTTCATCATCATCATCCTCTCTTCTTCTTCTCCATCATCATCCTCTTCTTCTATTTCTTCTTCTTCTTCCTCTTCTTCTTCAACACTTCTTCATCATCTTCTTCTTCTTCCTCTTCTTCTTCATCATCATCATCATCCTCTTCTTCTTCATCATCATCTTCTTCTTCTTCTTCATCATCATCATCATCATCCTCTTCTTCTTCTTCTTCATCATTCTTCTTCTTCTTTCATCATCATCTTCTTCTCATCTTCTTCTTCTTCTTCTTCATCTTCCTCTTTGTCTTCTTCTTCTTCTTCATCCTCCTCCTCCTCCCCCCCCCCCCCCTCTCTCCTCCTCCTCTTCCTCTTCTCTTCCTCTTGCAGGTCACTGCTCATGCGCAGATTTTTTATCGGTAAAAAATCGGCCGATTTGCCCATCATTGCCGCGAAAATCGGCCGATCGGCAAAATCGGCCAATTTTTTTTTCCAACTTTACCGATAAAAAAAATCTGCCAAAATACCGAAAAACGGCCGAACAAATAGCCCACTAACGATCCGAAAATCGGCCGATTTTATTTTCGGCCGAAAAATCGGCCGATTTTCGACCCATCTATGGCCTGCATTAGGCTAAGCTCACACTAGCTTTGTTAGCAGGCATTTTGCAGGCATTAGAGGGGTGTTTTTAACACTCCTCAAACACCTATAAAAATTATACACATGGCCGCACACAGTGCTGTTCACACTGAAGTGTTTGCATCGCAGCACAATTGATGCCTCATGTCCAGTCAGGAAAATTTGAAGCCTCCCATTCAAGTTTATGGTGACGCTCCTCAAACGCCTGGAAGGCATTTGCGGGACGTTTGCGACGCATTTGCGGGGCGTTAATACCATTAACTTCATTATATGTGTTTGTGGTGCAGTTTTAACGCTTGGAAAACGCCAATCAAATGCCTCAAAAATGCGCATAGGGCGTTTGGGGAGCATTTGAGAAGCATTAAAAATGCTTCCCAAATGCCTGTGTAACACCCATCAAACGTCTGTCAAATGCTATAGGAGCATTTGGGAAGAGTTAGAAATTAGTCAAGTGTGAACGAGCCCTTATTGTTGCAAAACATACTGATGGCATTGGAAGTGGAAGGCTTCTCACAGTGAAAATAATTATCAGAAGAGTTGTCCAAGAGTCAAGGACCACTTTTCAAGAGCTTCAGAAAGACCTGGAATTAGCAGGTACAATTGTTGCAAAGAAAACAATAAGTAATGCACTCAACCGACATGGCCTGTATGCACGCTCACCACACAAGACTCCATTGCTGAAGAAAAAGTATGTTGAAGCTCGTTTAACGTTTGCTGCACAACATTTAGACAAGTCTGTAAAATACTGGGAGAATATAGTCTGGTCAGATGAGACCAAAATTGAACTCTTTGGATGCCATAATACACACCATGTTTAGAAGTCAAATGGCACTGCACATCATCCCAAAAACACCACACCGACAGTGAAGTTTTCAGTTGGGAACATCATGGTGTGGGGCTGTTTTTCAGCATACGGTACTGGCAAACTTCATGTCATTGAAGGAAGGATGAATGGAAATCTTGATAAAAATCTGCTGCCATCTACCAGGATGATGAAGATGGGTGGACATTTCAAGCAATGTCAAAGACAATGATCCCAAACACAAAGCCAAGGAAACTCTCAGCTGGTTTCAAAGAAAAAAATAAATCTGCTAGAATGACCCAGCCAATCACCTGACTTGAATCCAATAGAAACTCTATGGAAAGAACTAAAGATCAGAGTTCATAGAAGAGGCCCACGGAAAGATTTGAAGACTGTTTGTGTGGAAGAATGGGCCAAAATCACACCTGAGCAATGCACGCAATTAGTTTCTCCAAACAGCAGGCATCTAGCAGCTGTCATTATCAACAAATGATTTTGTACCAAGTATTACATTTCAGTTAGGGTGTTCAATACTTTTTCCCTGTGTCATTTCATTTTATTACACATAGCTTAATTTCTGAACTAATTTGTTTTGGTTTCTTTGTATGTATAGATTGCATGGGTGTTACCGAAATGTGGTTAATATTTCATGTCAATAGCATCTTTAGAAATATATTTACTGAGAAAAATGGTGACGTGTCCAATACTTATTTTACCGGCTGTATTTAACAGACAAAAAGTAAGCAAAAAAGAGAAGTGCATTTTTAGGGTTTAGCATAAGTATCCAGTTGTCAGCACACCAGACCACCCAGAGATACTCAGAGGGTGGCTGTCCCCAATATAACTCCCCTTGGAACTGCTACCTGAGTGCCCTATGTTTCTTTTATTGCTTGCAACATGATTATTATGCAGAGAAGATAGCAAAATACAAGGACTGCCATTGCTAAGTGGGAATGTACCACTAGCTTCAAGAGTTTCCAAATTTCGGACTCTCAAAAAAAGTTGAATATTAGGATTGTCAGAGGTCCTTATCTACGGTGATTTGAATTATTGAACTAGGGAGGTTAGCATGACTACCAGGCAGCTATCATTTGTAGAAAAAGAAGCCTGAAATCATAGCTTCTATGTTTTTTTCTAGAAAGGATTGCGTTAAAGAACCTTTCTGAGCTCACTAGAACAAGAACATCAGAAGGATGCTGATAAGCACAGTATCATGTTATAAGAGGCTGTACTCTTGCCTCAGTAGGGCTGTATAAAAGTTTTTGTATTGCACTGTCTGGCACTAGACTTTATAACATTTAGATGACAATAGCAACATCCATGTTTTTATTGTGACAAGATAAAGTCAAGAGATTTAACTGTTTGGTGTATGAGAAAACTTCTGTCCATTTCAATAATGTGTCCTCTATTCTCTGTTCTACAGGGCCTGCTTATTCCACTTCCGCTATGTAGGGAAGAGAAGCATTGCCAGGTATGATGTTGATTTGTTATAAACCACCAAACGTATGCTTACCTAGCAGGGGCGGACTGACAACTCATGGGGCCCTCGGGCAATAGGGGATCATGGGGCCCCTGTGTCCTTGCCCAAACTCAAAAAAGCCTATGAAAAAGGTACCAGGGGCATCTCATGGGGCCCCCTACTGACCCCGGGCCTTCGGGCAGTGCCCGAGTTTCTAAATGGTCAGTCCGCCCCTGTTACCTAGTGATTCTCTAATAATGTAACTTAAATAGGTTTTAAAACAAAATGGTACATAATTGCAGGCAAAAGCCTGAACTGCAAGAGGGTGTGTAACTAAAGCAAACATTTTACAATATGTGTTTACAGCCCAAATCTGGGCGGCCTGATTCCCAATCAACTGAATGCTGCGATAGTCTCTGATTGGCATATATGTTTTTCTCCTTGCTAGAGGAGAAAAATGTAAACAAATATAAATAAAGAAGTGTGTGGAAAAAGAATAATAAAAACTAATAAAAAAACTAGCTAGATCAGGGTTTGATCTAGATCAGTGTCAGCAGGGCCAAAGCTGAAGGGGCAGCAGCCCCAGGCACCGCATTGAGAGGGGTGCCGCCTTTGATAGGAACAGTGACAGCACTACTCCTGTGGCTGGCAGAGACAAGCTCGGGGAAATCTGGAGAATTGCCAGGGATGCTGTGTTTGGCATAACATTGGCGGCAACTGCAGGGACTCCTGATAGAGCTAGGCAAGTGCTGAATAGTGGAGAATTGCTTTTAAGACATGTAGGGTCTACAGTAGGGGGGGAGACAGGAACCTGGTGGGACAGGCTGAGGCTAGGACTCCATTCAAGTAGAGTGCTGGCTTGCTGGTGCTCGGGGCTTGAATAGGGGGAGGGTAGACTCTTTGCTGCAGAGATGATGCTGCCTCGAACTTCTCCACTATGACTCGTTGAACCCATAGCTTAGCACACAGCTCCACACTGCGGCCCATGCTGCCTTCCCTATCTCCAGGCACCTTGTGACACTGCTGCATGGGGCTCATCTTGCGGAGGGGCTGGGATCTGGGGTCACCAAGTAACTATCCCCCTCCTCGATCACCTGTGCTGCCCATCCTTCCTCACCTTTGCTTTTCAACCCTGTGCCTGCTGAAATGCCATTATCAGCATCATCAACATCACCCTCACACTTGGAGGTTTTTAATGGGGTTCTATCCTTTTATGGTGTCACCCTACCTTTTAATTTAGTGCCTCCTTCCTTCCTATAACCTTCCAGTGGCCTCCACTCCTAGGAAGGGTGATCATGGTGAAGGCCCTTACTTACACCTGTCAGTGCCAGTAACTTACCAATAAATGCCCTGGGGAGGGTGTAATCACTTCCCATCCCCAGCCCCACTCACTTCATTGTATGTGCAGTCGATGAGGGTCTGATCCTGGAAGGAGGTGCTGCTGCTGGGGGGAAAATCCTGCCCGAGTCTGAGCTGGGGAACCCCCTTCTGTGTACACAGGGTGTGAGGTCTGGGGGAGTGGTTGGTGGGAACCAGGGCCAAAACTGGAAAGGAAGGCAAGAGGGCATGTGCCCAATCTCTGTATTGAGGGGGGTGCCACTGGGGAGTGTCAGCATCCAGGGGGAAGGTTGGAAGATGGAGAGAGCTGGGACATCATGGCCACATCTACAGTACAGCCTGGGATTCAGCAACCTGTCAGAACCTGGAGAGGAAGAGCAGGAACCAATGAGCTGTTTTTTTTACCAGACAATGAAACCTGACAAGAGTTTTATTCTTTCCCCACTCTATCAAAAAAAAATGTTTCAAAGCAATGTTGCAAACATAAATATTATGACTGTGACAAAACATGATTCAGCCAATATTATGACTATGTAACAAAGTATGCTTAGAACTTTGTCAAAGTTTAATCACACTTCAACAGACTTATCTTTTTTTAAACAATATTGAAAAAAGAAAACTGTTTATAAGAAGTAAAGGAAAGACCAGTAGCAGTGGAAGTGATAGTACTAGGGCTTGTTGACACGGGTGGCTGAAGGGGTGGTAAAAGCAGGAGGCTGAGCTGTGGTTTTATTGTCCGTAGACTGCCCACCTAAACACCGGAATATGAGACGTTGAAGTGTGTGGATACATTGCACTCGGTTGTACTGTGGGGAATTGCCAATTTGAGGGTTAAATCAGGCATAGAGCAGGCATTATATTTTGCCTCCTTACCAACTGACAAATATCCTCTGAAAAGCAGTCCACCATGGAGGGATTTTTAGAGGAATGGCAAGCCCTTAGTAACCAAATGACATCCACTTGTATGTATTAATACTATCACTTCCACTGTTACTGGTCTTTCCTTTACTATACTTTACAAATGGTTTTCATTATTCATAATTACATAATGCGTGTGTTATTGAGTCCACTTAACCTCTGAAAAAGTTCTCTGTTAGGCTAAGTTCACACATACAGTATATGAGTGTGGGAATGCATGTAAATTGCACGCACTTCCAAACCCCCAGACAAACGGCACCGCTATTTAGTAGACAGGCGGAGCTGCCATTAATTCTTCATTTTTGCATGCAGGACTTTTGATGCACTTTCAGAAAGCGCACCAGAACCGTGGTACATAATAGAACTCTATGGGAAAGCACAGATAACACACACCAAACCCACAGGCACACCGTTCTACGCCCACATTGTGAAAGGGGCCTTAGTCATCCCTCCATATATGACAATTCAAGGAAGAGCTACTATAAATGTATCTGTTAGGCTGAAGCATGTTTTGTTATATAGGGATAATACTGGCTGAAGCATGTTTTGTTATATAGGGATAATACTGGCTGAAGCATGTTTTGTTATATAGTGATAATACTGGCTGAAGCATGTTTTGTTATATAGTGATAATACTGGCTGAAGCATGTTTTGTTATATAGGGATAATACTGGCTGAAGCATGTTTTGTTATATAGGGATAATACTGGCTGAAGCATGTTTTGTGATATAGCAATAATACTGGCTGAAGCATGTTTTGTTATGTAGTGATAATACTGGCTGAAGCATGTTTTGTTATATAGGGATAATACTGGCTGAAGCATGTTTTGTTATATAGGGATAATACTGGCTGAAGCATGTTTTGTTATATAGGGATAATACTGGCTGAAGCATGTTTTGTGATATAGCAATAATACTGGCTGAAGCATGTTTTGTTATATAGGGATAATACTGGCTGAAGCATGTTTTGTTATATAGGGATAATACTGGCTGAAGCATGTTTTGTTATATAGCGATAATACTGGCTGAAGCATGTTTTTTTATTATATAGTGATAATACTGGCTGAATCATGTTTTGTTATATAGTGATAATACTGGCTGAAGCATGTTTTGTTATATAGGGATAATGCTGGCTGAAGCATGTTTTGTTATATAGGGATAATACTGGCTGAAGCATGTTTTGTTATATAGGGATAATACTGGCTGAAGCATGTTTTGTTATATAGGGATAATACTGGCTGAAGCATGTTTTGTTATATAGTGATAATACTGGCTGAAGCATGTTTTGTTATATAGGGATAATACTGGCTGAAGCATGTTTCCATACTCATACTATTTACTGTATGTTTGTAATACTGTTTTAAGCATAATGGCCCTTTCATTGCATATATGTGCCCATCATTCATTGCACTGGATGTATGTCATAGCAGCTCTGTTAGTCCTGAAATGGATAACTTTTAGTTCATTGTTCCTAATCTACCAGATAATACTATTTAATTTAATATGTTTTTCTTGTTGTGTTTTTAAGGTACCAATTTTTTATTAACTAGTTTTATGATTCTATATTTATGTGACTATTGTACTTAAATGGATATTAATTTCTTTCCTTTATACCTATAGGTTTAATACTTTTTTACTTTTTCTGTTTCTTTTGTGGTGTGTAAGTATGAGCTCTTGGTTTGGTCTGAACAGACTGAACTCTGCTTGTTTGGGAATTTGTTCGATTTTTAGCTGTTCGATTTTTAGCTTTTTCAATGGGAACTGAACATCATACAATGTATATAGTAGTATTTTTTTCTTCTACTATATATGACAGCTTTTCCCATCAATAATTAAGGAAGGAGCAGATGCCAGCACTCACTACAGCCTTAGCAACCAGTGATGTCACCTGACTCCACTTTTTTGCTTGCTAGGAATCCCTGGACATGTAAACAAAGGTGCAGTATTAGCACTGACATCCCCAACATCCCCAACCAAATATGGCCACATGGCCATATTTTGGCAATGACAATACTGGGTATACCCCACTACATTTGTTTTTTATATTTAGCACTGGGGACTGGGGCTGTCATTCACAGCAAATGTACCAATGGGATCAGACGTGTCCATTAGTCAGCAGGTATTTTTTTTGTTTTTGGGCCAATTGGCAATCATCAATCCCTGTGATTGATGTGGATCTGCTAGCTTAATGACAATATTGAAAATGGATTTACAAAGATTTTTTAGTATTATGTACCCTTACATATTCACATAGAAAGGGAAGGAGGGGGGGCTTCCAGATTCCATTAAGCTCCCCTGCCCTCATCTATATGGGAACAAGATGCTTTGCCAGGGGAGTTATGTGGCCTGGTATAGTTTGGGAAGGCACATGCATGCTATGGCGGCACCCATGCATGCATGCTTCTGAGCCAAGCTGTATGAGTCCATAGACACACAGAGCACCGGTAGGCCACGGTCCTGCTCCCTCCCCACAGGATTTTGATTGACAGCAGCTAGAGCCTATGGCTCTCACTGCCCTCACTGTCTCTATAAAGCCAGGAAGTGAGAGGAACGGTGCTGCAGCTGGGACAGCGCTGGATCAGAGAGAAGGTAGGCACATTTTTAATGATTGGGGGGGGGGGGGGGGGGGGGGGCAGTTAGTGGGGTTTTTACCTTAATGCAGGGAATGCCTTAAAGTAAACCCAACATTTCATATTCCTGATACGTGCCTGTTGTTCCATGTACTTGTATGAAAAAGTATCCTATTTTTTTTTTTTGTGTTGCTTCCATGGTGTGAAATATCTGGTGTTCCTGCCAGTCCCTCTGCTTTCCTAATAAAAGCTGACCACACTAGGCATAAGAGCACACAACAGTCTGGCTGTGGTGAGAACTGAACCTGCCCTCCTTTTAATGATCAGATTTCTGCTCACACTCCCATTCCCTGCACAGCCATCAGTGTACTGCCGTTTCTCCTCTCTTATCTCTCTGAGCTACTTATGCAGCTGAGAACAGAGGGAATGTGATCACTTATAAAAAAGGGAAAAAAAGCATTCATAATGTTATATGTATACACAAATGTTTTGATTTTCATTTCTATTTTAAACATAATGGGTTGTCATACAAGGTGAGGGTTTACATATCCTTTAAGGTAAAAAACAGTGTGATTTTAGAACCACTTTAAGTAATATTTACTGAACCCGCCTCAACCAAAACCCAGCAACATTCAGCTCATCCCTAGTGGAGTGTGCGGTGGATATTTTGTTGATTTTCTGAACTTTACTTGTAAACTGAGAGTAAACAGATACTGCCTCTGCAGACCAAGTACCCCGAGTAATTCTGCTTCTGTTGATTTTTTTATTTAAAAAATGTTGGTGAGGCCTTTGGAACTTTCCACAGATCTGATTTTTTCATCTAAAAAATAGTAACTGATAATTTATTTAAAAAAAAAATAGCAAGTTTGCACATGTATAGTATTTTTTGTTTGTATTAAGGGTTATTTTAACACATCTAGTGTTGTTATTCCAACACTCAGACATTCTTGACTTCACTATGTAATCAAATAAGTGTGTGAACCTTTATTACTGCTAATACCTAAGTAAACTCTCCATTGTATTTTTGCATGGATGTTTGTGATTCTGCTGTTCCATGGTCAGTCAGATATACAGCTGGTTAAAAGATATGATTTGCTGGTAGTAATGTTTGCTTTTAAAATAAACTTGACGTAAGCCATTAAGCTGTGCTGCCTTAATAGGTAATGATGTTCTCATTGTCTTCTAGGGTTCAGGATGTCTGGACATGTAAGCATTTTGGAGCAGCAGACAGAAAATCTCAAACAATGCCGGCTCTGCGGAGCAGGGCAGGAGCCTCGCGTCTTCAACATCTTAGTAGCTTAGAGAGTTCCTTCACGCTCAACCATAGTAAGTGGTTGGAAGAAAGCTTAGCTACTAAATACTCTGAATATACGTTAGCAAAGCATCAAGCAAGATTATGTAGTTCAACATAAATTGTTTTTCTTGATGCAAAACTTAGACATGTTTATGGGACAAATGAACAAGGCACAAAGGGGTTGATTTACAAAGGCAAATAAACTATGCACTCTGCAAGTGCAATTGCTTCAGAGCTTAGCAAATGAGGTAAAGCTTCATTTTCAAAGAATACCCAATCACACAATCATGCAAGGGAAATTAGAAAAAACAGCATTTTTCCTTGCACATGATTGGATGATGGAAATCAGCAGTCCTGCTCATTTACTAAGCTCTGGAACAACTGCAGTTTACAAAGTGGACAGTATATTTTCCTTTTGTAAATCAACTCCATAGTCTCTCCTGCATTTTTAAACTAATCTCCCTTGTCCTAGGTGAATGCAGAGATGCGCAATGGTATTTGCAAGGGTGTATGTATAGTAGTTAAAGGGAAAATATAATGGATTGTTTACTATTTTCATTTCTAAATTTCCAAACTTTTATATCTTTTTTCATTTTTACTACACATATACAATCTTTGTTTTACAAATAAATATATAATACATGGCACAAGATTCCCATTGCACTAAGTACTATCTATACAGACAAGGAAGAAGGAGCTTGCATTGAGGCTGATTTTGGGTGGTTGAAACCTAGGACAGTTCTGTCTAACAAGGGGGGAGTCACTGTTCTGACTCATTTACATGTATCTGTAAATTTCAGCTAGAGCAGGGTTTCTCAGCCAAGGTTCCATGAAAAGACCCCAGGGGGTTCTACCACGGACTACTGTCGCTGCATATTTACACCAACCCAATGGTGGCTTTATTGCTCTTCTTGCACTCCATACTGAGTACTTCTGGACATGCTGATGTTGATATCAGCCTGACAGTGCTCTTGAAGCAGTGCATCACTAAACTGAGCAGTGCAGAATGAGAAGAGCAGTTCAGTGGGAGCCTGCATTTTGACATTAACCACTTCCAGATCAGACACTTTTACCCCCTTCCTGACCAGGGCAATTTTCAGCTTTCAGCACTATCACACTTTGAATGACAATTGCGCAGTCATGCAACACTGTACCCAAATTAATTTTTTACCATTTTTTTGAGACAGATTTATTTTGGTGGTATTTATTAACCGCTGGCATTTTTTTTTTTTTTTTGCTATATAAATGAAAAAGTCCAAAAAATTTAAAAAAAAAGTGTTTTTTTTAAATAAAATTTTGCAAATAAATAATATTTCATCATAAATCTTGGCCAAAATTTATTCCGTTATCTTTTTAGTTCAAAAAAAAAAATCCAAATTAGTTTATAACCAAAAATTGTATTTTTTTATATATTATTATTTTTTATTTATTTTTTTTACATACTGTCACCCTAGCAGTACAGTGTCACCATGGTGACACTGTACTACTTGTGGGGGTGATGAAGATTTTTTTTTATAGGATGTAAAAGCAATCATTTCTCTTTCTCTCTGTCCTGCATTCTTGCATTTATTGAGAAGTACTGAGTGAGCTGTGATTGGTCACAGCCTGTCACATGGTACAAGGCTGTTGTGAATAGCCTTGTACCATGTGACCTCTGTGATCATTCACAGATTTCACACGTAGTAAGCAATGATGTCACAAGTGACATCTTGTTTACTACTTTGCATGTGATCACTGATTGGCCAATCAGCGATCACATGATCGGGACCTCGTACAGAGGTCCCGTCCGACGATCGGTGTTCCACTGTGTCCGGAGGACACAGCGGGCACCGGATCGCGGTGCTGCGTGCTCCCAGGGAGCGCGCACAAGCAGGGTGCGGGGGAGGCCGTTTATAAACGGCCACCCGACCCTGCACTGCCACTGTCCGGCCGTTTATATACGACGGCCGGTCGGGAAGTGGTTAAAGATGTTTTCTAGCTAAGTAACATGTTTTTGAGGAGGGGGATACATAGGAGTTCCACACCAAAGAGTCAACAGTGAAGAGAAACAATGAAGAAACAATGTTTTTTTTTTAAATGAACACATCACTGATGTTCATATGTGACTCCAAACTTGACTTTTTTCAGGATTGTAATGAACTGTGAATGCATTCACTTCTACCATTGTGACCACATATGGCCTGTTTAATATCTTCTAAACTTTTGTAAGAAAACAAACCCAGAATGTTAAATGTCACATTTGTGTAAGAAAAAACATGTTTATAAAAACATTCTATTAACTTTCTTATTCAGTGTCTACCACTTCCTTGCAGGGTTGCAAAAATCTTTGTCTTTTCCTTTATATGAATAGAAATTCCTAAAATGACTGCTGAATTCCGAAAAAACTCTGTCCAGTAAAGTTCTTACTCTGATTTGGATTTGGTAAATGACTAGAAATTCTTAAAAATAAATGATTAAACCCTGGTTTAATTAAACCAGAGTCAGAACTTTACTGGACAGAGCTTTTTTTTAGAATCCAGAAGAGATAAATGAAAATAAAGAATGACTTAATTATGATACCAGTTCTGAGACCATGCTTAAAGTGATATTAAAGCCATTTTTTAATAAAATGCTGATAAAGGGACATACATGCTCTTGATGTGTTTTTTTGTTTAATGTTTCCCCTCTATGCTTGCTTTTCATACTATCCCCCAGCTACTCTGCCTGACTTCAGGTACGTGTGTGCTCCAGTTTTGAACTACAGGCTAATGTATTGAACTGTATTGTTGCTGTATTGTCTCCCGTTATAATGTAAAGCGCTGAGCAAACTGTTGGCGCTATATAAATCCTGTATAATAACAATAATAATGTGCAGTAACTCCCAGCACTGCAAGAAAAAGAGTACCAAAGCCAAAGTTTGTAAGCCACTATAAAATAGCACTGCGGAGGAGAGGATTGGCTTTGGTTCTGGGTCTCTCACACTGACTTTGTTTGCAGTACTGGAAACTGCTGCACATAAGCTTGTAGACCAAAATGGGAGTGTGCACAAAATGGAGACACCGGTGGGACCTCATAGGTCCTGGCAGGCACAGGGGGAACCCACATATGTGAAGTCAGGCAGCACAGCCAGTGTGAGGAGCAAGCACAGAGAATAAAACTTTTTATTATTCTTTTTTATTCTTTTTGCTTGCTCTTCACGCTGGAGCAAAATGTGCTATTAGCATCTCATTTTGCAAACAAAAAAAAATAGATTTTAATATCAGTTTAAGGCAATTTAGAGAATACCATTGACTGTGTAATGTGTATTAAGAGAAAACAGAAATTGCCTATTTTTTTACGGTATGAAAAATTGTGCAAAACAAATGCCTATTTTACTCAATATCTACAACTTGATTATTACACTAACATACCGTAAGCTGTAGATTAGAAAATTATTTCTGGGGTTTTCAGAGATCGTAAAAAATTATAAAGTGTTCTTCCAAGGTAAAAATGTTGAGAGAAGCTGAGCTCCTAGAGTTGTTGAGTTCAATAGATAAGGAACTTTTTATGGTAGGTGATAAAAAGACAGGGAAACATTAGCTCCAACCTATAGCTGTATAGAAGACTATAAGATGACCATATCAATATTTCCTAGTTTATATTTATATTTTTCTTTTGATCATAAAATCCTTTACATTTAAAACTGCTTATTTCAACCTAAAACGGGAGATGGGTTATTTTTGCTGAAATGAAGACATGATCAACCACCTCAGATAATTAAAACAAGATTTTCCACTGGTCAGAAGCACCTGGTATTGCTCCCTAAATGGCCCAGCCCTCATCAAGACAACACATCAGTTGGTTCAATCATAGGAGCTGTGGGGACCTTTACACCATCCTATAACCACCTTTTATTAGTGAGGAATAATTCTTGCAGCCATTAGAGTTTGTGATTTAATTGATTGCAGGAACAGGTTTTTCCCCAGGGAACACCTGCCTACCATGTCAAATACAAAATACAAAACGACCGTGTTGTTAAGTTAATTGTCAATATGTGTATTCAACCTTTTACAAATGTATTCATTTAAGTAAGTGCTGACAGCAGAGCATTTACTGATTTCTTGATTTTGAATATTTCACAGGTACAGGTGTCACAGAAGCAGACATTTTACATCAGGCATTGCTGGAGGGAAATTGCAGCACTGAAGTTTCTTTAACGGTCCTGGACACCATCTCCTTCTTCACTCAGACTTTCAGGGTAAACATAACTACATAAAGCTATTAGCTTGCCTCTAAACCACATGAATGTTGGCAGGATAACATATCTTAATTCCTCAAGGGACAGTGCTATGTGCATTTATTACTCAAATTTTGGAAAGAAAAGCAAGGGTCAGTTTTGTAAGGAAATCGTTGGTTGCAGGCAGGGATCTGTCAACGCACATCTTCTTGATGCTGCTAAATAAATAATTGAAAAACACACAGGTTTGCTGTTTTATCTGCAAAAGGTTTTGTAAATTTGTAAGCTTTTCTTGTGAGTTACACACATTTGACCCACTGCACAGCCATCCAGGCAGCACACTTACTTCCCGGTTCTACAGTGCAGCCTTTGTGTCACCTCTTAGCCTCCAGCCTGCTCAGTGGACAGTAAATTAGTATCATTGTTTCTTTCCACTTACCAGGAAGGTGATCCAGGGAGTAGTAAAGCTGAACCAGGAAGTGATTGCAAGGATTCAACCTATGTCTGTAGCCCCCTTGTCCTCGTTATTTTCACCATCAGGCCTGGGAGAAATAAAGCTCCGACACCGAAGTGTGCAAGCTAAATCTATGAAAGTTTAATGCATGACAAGAACGGTTATACAGAACTAAATAGGCATTGCTTAATCTCAGGATGACCAATGAAACATTCCATTCTTATCAATATAGTTACGTGAAGAACAGAAACTGCAAATAGTTGAGGGATACCATATAAGGTAGTTCCATTTACAGAAATGAAACTAGTCTAAGGAAACAAGAGAGAAGTTACAAAATCGAAACTAACTGTTCACATGTCTAGAAATGGAGGCATTATACAAAATGGATGCCAGTTAATGAGACATATTTCCTTACAGTGATCAGGCTGAATTAGGCAGCAATTGAGTGACCTTTCTTGCTCTTTGGTGTGGCAGAGGTTTGTGAATCACAAGAAAGGCTGGAAAAAATTGCAAATTGTTTGACAAGTTGTGTTCCAAGCAATGCTCTACAAGGGATCTAAAATATGCTTTAGTTGGACTGTAGATACTGTGCGTGCTGTAGTCTCCCTCATCACATACATGTTGGAGTAGGCAAATAAAGAATGTAAATGGGACATCCCGGGTTTACTACAATAATTACTACTAATATTTGGTGTAATACAGAGATTAAATTACGCATGAGGTAGAAAAAAGAACATCTAAACAAATCCAATGTATGGAAGTTCGAATTACTCAAAAATAAAGGAAGGATTGTATTTTGTTTTTGCCATGCTATGTTTTCCACTGAAAGAGAGAAGGGAAAAGAAAAAAAAGTAGGAAAAAAGAAAAAAAGGAGGAAATGAAGAAAAAAAACCCCATAAAGAAGAGGGGAAAAGACTATACTTTTAATTTCCATTCTCTTCTCTCCCAAGTGCCTGTAATTTTTCCCCCAAGATTTGTATTCTCCCACCTTTCTTAATTCCTTGTATTTTCATACCTTCCTATTTTATATATATATATATATATATATATATATCTATCTTGGATTTAACATGTTTATTGACAATGATTGTCAGTGTGTTAAAATGCAGGAGTAACTAGAGAAAGAATGAGCTATGTTGCATGACTGCCTTTTCTCTCTAAAGATGTAAAGAATCCCGCTGAAGTGCATAAACACTGACGTACAAAGCTGTCCATAACTCTGCCCCAAACTACATCACCGACCTAATATCCAAATACCATCCAAAACGCACTCTCCGCTCCTCACAAGACCTCCTTCTCTCTAGTTCCCTGGTCTCCTCCTCCCATGCCCGCCTCCAGGACTTCTCCAGGGCATCACCCATCCTATGGAACTCCCTACCCAATCCATCAGACCCATCACCTACTCTCCTCTCCTTTAGGCGCACCCTGAAAACCCACCTCTTCAGGGAAGCCTACCCCGCCCTCTGCTAATTGCCGATCTCCTCCACTCTTCCTACCACCCCATCCCCCGCAGCTATTCCTCCCATACCACTATCCCCTCCCTCCTAGATTGTAAGCTCCAAGGAGCAGGGCCCTCGAACCCCTCGTGTATCGCATTGTATTGTTATTGTACTGTCTCATGTATTGTCCTCCATTGTAATGTACAGCGCTGAGCGAACTGTTGGCTCTATATAAATACGTATAATAATAATAATAACTATGGAATGAATTGATGCAACCTACCAACCTAGATGTAGGGCTGAGTAAAACTGGCTGATTTGTTAGTAAGTTGCCTTGTTTATGGCCAATATTTGGCAGCATTAGCACCAACATGTATGTGTTAATTAGTATTGACTTGCCGTTCGTTTCCATGCACTTATGTATGGGTTTTATTTACTTAAATCTAAATATTGAAATGCAGGACATCACACCAAGAATGCAGTTCACTGGGATCAGACATCATTGAAACAATAAGGAACATTTAGCAAGCAAAGTGAAAAGCTAGCAGCAAATGTAGCCAAAAATCAGGCTGTTAGTTAACAAAGTCTATGCAACAGTTTTTAGGGTGTATTTTTGACCCCTGAACCTGTAATTCTGGGCAACTGCATGAGATTTGAGACAGATTTACATTGGAAATTAAACAGATTTTGACTCAAAGCAGACACACTGTAAAAAGTGGTCGGGGATGGTGTTACTATATACAGTCTATCTTCCTCACTGCTCCTGTCTAGCATTGCCTAGGTGTGCAAAAGAACTGAGAAATGTCCATGAATTTTTCAGATTTGAAAAATGCGTCTGCGTTTGTTTTGATTGATAACTTAGCAGAGACCTGAGAACAGCTTTACATTTTTTCCTACGCAAGTCTTTAAAACTGTACATAAGTACACTTTTTCTTTCCTTTTTTGTAGACTCAGCTCCAGAACTCAGATTGCCATAACCCACTGATGAAGAAAGTGTTTGATATTTATTTGGCTTTTCTGAAAAATGGACAATCAGAGATATGTTTGAAGCATGTTTTTGCATCACTGAGATCCTTCATCAGCAAGGTAAATACACTCACCAACACAAAATCATATGTGATAGGAGAAGAAAGACGGGTAAACATTATATATGAAGGGAACTAGACAATTTATTTGCTGCAGTCCCAACAGTTTGACTAAGCCTTTTGGTGGACCTCACTATAACCTGTCTGGTCATTATCATTGGTCCCCAAGCCCTACCCTGTAGAAGCCTTCTTTTCCATACACTGCACTGATTGTGGCCAACTGTATGCAGTATACATGGTATGCAGAATGGAAAACATGGCTCTGTTATCTTAGGCTGTATCTGTGCTATACACCAGAAATGCCAAATGTTCAGTTAGCCAAGGAGCAAAAAGAAATAATTTGCTTGGCTCCACCCACAATATTGAAAGGAGACATTGGGGGAGATTTACTAAAACTGATGCACATAAAATCTGATGCAGCTGTGCATAGAAACCAATCAGATTCCAGGTTTTATTGTCAAAGCCTAATTGAACAAGCTTAAGTTAGAAGTTGATTGGTTGCTATGCACAGCTGCACCAGATTCTGTGTGCACCAGTTTTAGCAAAACCCCCCCCCCCAAAATCTCCCTATTTTTGGGATTTGAGATGGAATAAAATGTGAATATGTTCTGTTCTTTGAAGGCTTTACTGTGCAACACATTGATTCTTTGGAGAGATTTTTGGTTTCTTTTGGCCCACCGCACTATAACCTATAAGCAGTAATGTCAGGAATTCAACCCCATTTTTTCCATAACTGCACAACGTTAAAACAATACACAACTGTAACATGTTCATATAAGTATCATTTTTTTAAAACAAATTCAACCTTCTTTTGATAGTTTCCATCAGCATTCTTTAAAGGAAGAGTGGATATGTGTGCAACATTTTGCTATGAAGTCCTTAAATGCTGCACTTCAAAACTCAGCTCCACCAGAAATGAGGCATCAGCTCTCCTCTACCTTCTTATGAGGAGCAACTTTGAGTTCACCAAAAGGCGGACATTCCTGAGGACACATTTACAAGTGAGTTATTACAGAGAGATTTGTTAATTGAGTTTAGTTCATCCTCTTTTAGCTAAATAACCACAACCAAAGTCTGCTAAAGTTAATTGGAAGCAACTGTAGTATTTTAATTAACTGCACATTTTTAAATAAAGTTTATCATGAAATGTACCTAAAAGTCGCTTTTGATGCGACTTTAACATTCCACCATGCATGCACTAAATGACTGTGACCTCCTTCAGACTTTCTGTGTGCCTGGGTAGATCTTCAATTATAGGAAGCCAGAGGTGGAGCTGGTGACATTTAAATTCACTCAGTTTCAGGCAGCTGACAAACTGAGACACAAAAATGACCAACAAAAAGTTGCATCCTTAAACCATTTCTACTTGCTACTGTATTTATTTCAATTACAGCTTTCAGTAACACACACAGTGGGTAGAACGATATTTCTGTATTGTGTTTAAAACAAATGGACCATTTCCGGTTTTCATTTAAATTACTTTTGAAGGTCACACGGCAGAACAAAATGATAAGATCTATAAATACTGTAGACTAATTTAAGGAAAAGGCAGTAAAATCATATTCTGGCATGTTTTACACTGAGAATGTTTTATTTCTTTTTATTACTATTTATTTAGCTTTTTGGCTCCAGATATTACACATTACCTTTCAAGTAAATAATAAAAAGCATAAGGCTTAACAATGTGTTTAAGAAAAGGAGACAGAAGACAGGAGGTATCTGCCTGCAAGAGCTTACAGTCTATAGGAAATCTGACAACTGGAAACTTGAAAAACAGATGATTATTAATAGAGATGAGCGAAGTATTCAAAAATTTGATTCGACTGATTCGGCGAATTCGTGGAAAAATTTTGATTCGAGTCGAATATATTCTCTGCGAATTTAACTTATAAAAGGGTGTTTCTAGGCTTCAGAGAGCCTTTGTATTAGTGCAGAACACTGTACCTTTAATTTAAATGCCCTTGGAGTCTGCTGGGGAAGAGAAATAATACTGACAGTCAGTATGACATGCAGATGAGTGCCGTCGATCTTAGAATCACCGCACACTTCACTCATTTGGGCAGTCACGGGGCCAAAACCAGAGTGTGGAGCCACAGTGTGGCGGTGGAGGCAGCAGCAATGGGAGGCCATACAGCACCCTATGACAAAAATGGAAACCACCAGCAGTGTGAGGAGACCTGAAAGTGGCACATGGCAGAGTGTGGCGATGGAGACAGCAGCAATGGGAGGCCGTACAGGGACCCATGACACACTCTGGACCTGGCAGCAGCATGAGGAGTCGGTACGGGGGCCCATGGTAGATTAGGGGCCTGGGCAGCAGCTATGGGAGGCCCGTAATCTGCCAGCACCCTATGACAAAAAATGGAACACACCAGCAGTGTGAGGAGACCTGAAAGTGGCACATGGCAGAGTGTGGCGATGGAGACAGCAGCAATGGGAGGCCGTACGGGACCCATGAGAGACTCTGGACCTGGCAGCAGCATGAGGAGGCGGTATAGGGGCCCATGGCAGATTAGGGGCCTGGCAGCAGCTATGGGAGGCCCGTAATCTGCCAGCACCCTATGACAAAAAATGGAACACACCAGCAGTGTGAGGAGACCTGAAAGTGGCACATGGCAGAGAGTGTGGCGATGGAGACAGCAGCAATGGGAGGCCGTACAGGGACCCATGAGAGACTCTGGACTTGGCAGCAGCATGAGGAGGCGGTATAGGGGCCCATGGCAGATTAGGGGCCTGGCAGCAGCTATGGGAGGCCCGTAATCTGCCAGCACCCTATGACAAAAAATGGAACACCAGCAGTGTGAGGAGACCTGAAAGTGGCACATGTTTGGGGCATGATTCATGGCGGATTTAGTCAGTTGTGTCAGGAACTGGTGGTTTGAAATCCAGACTAATCCACGCCTGATTCATTTTCACAAACGTGAGTCTCTCCACACTTTGGGTGGACAGTCGTGTCCTCCGCGGAGTTGCAATACCTCCTGCCGCACTAAACACGCGCTCCGATGCCACGCTACTGGCGGGCATGACAGCCTTTCAAGGGCAAATTCAGCTAGTTGGGGCCAAAGGTCAAGTTTCGTTGCCCAGTAGTCAAGGGGATTGTCTACCTCGGTTGGCAGGGTGCTGTCCAAGTAGGCCTAAGCCTGTTGTTTGAGGTCCTGCTCCAGGTCCACCTGATGCTGCTGCTGCTGCTGCTGCGGCTGGTTAGTAGTTTCCTCACTGCGCTGGTGAAGAAAGCTACTCATCATCGACTGCAGACTGAGGCAGCCGCTGCTGGTGGAGCTGCCACTGCTCCTACCACCCCACCCCTCCCCTGCTGCCATGGCAGCGGAAACGCGAGCGCACAGGGCCCACAGTGTCTGAGGATGGACGTTGGCGCAGACAGGCAGAGAGACCAACTGACTGACTACATAGGTGGTTTTTATAGTACGTTATTTTGGCCTCCCTCTCAGCAGGTGTGAAAAAGGCCACCATTTTTGAACGGTAGCGAGGGTCCAACAAGGTGGACAGCCAAAAGTCATCCCTCTGTCTGATGGTTATTATTCGGCTGTCGCTACGCAAGCAACCGAGCATGCTATGGGCCATTTGTGCCAAGGAATGCGAGGGACTCCCTGCCTCCATCTCCACAGCATACTGCCACGGTGCGTCTGGGTCCTCTGTCTCCTCCTCCTCCTCCTCTACCAGATGCTCCTGCTCCTCCACTCCTGTCCGCTGAGAAAAAAAAAACCACCCATTTCACTCAATAATTCCTGAGCACAATGTCCTCCTCTACCTCCTCCTCTTCTTCCTGTCCTGCCCCACAGGGGTCATGTGGCGTTGAGATCTGTGCGCCACGTCTACCGCACCCTGACCAGCCATTGTTAACAGCATTTGTTCCAGGACGTGCAACAGAGGAATGACGTCGTTCATCCCATAGTCCTGCCGACTCACGAATAGCGTGGCCTCCTCAAAGGGCCTGAGCAAGCGGCAGGTGTCACGCATGAGCTGCCAATGGCTGACATCGAAGTTACACAGGGGAGTACCTTTATCCGCTTGTAACATCAGGAAATCTGTGATGGCCTTTCGCTGTTCGTAAAGGCGGTCTAACATGTGTAGGGTTGAATTCCACCTTGTTGCAACGTCGCAGATCAGGCGATGCTGTGGAATTCCGTTCTGCCGCTGCAGCTCAAGGAGGGTGTGCTTTGCGGTGTAGGAATGGCTGAAATGCATGCAAAGTTTACGTGACATTTTAAGGATGTCTTGCAGTGGGATGGTGGATTTTAGGAACCACTTGACAACCAGATTGAACACGTGAGCCATGCATGGCGCATGGCACAACCTTCCTTGACGCAGAGCAGACACCATGTTCTTTCCGTTGTCGGTCAACATGGTTCCGATTTTCAGTTTGCGCGGAGACAGCCATCTGTCGATTTCTCTGTTCATTACACTGAGAAGTTCCTCCCCTGTGTGACTACGTTCGCCAAGGCATACCAGGTGCAGCACAGCGTGACACCGTTGCGCCCTGCACATGTGATATGCCGGTCGGGTAATGGGACTTGGCACGGGGGGGTGGCGGCTGAGGACACGAAGGAAGAAGAGGTGGTAGAGGCGGACATCTTTTGTGGACCAAGGACGTGCAAACGTGGAGGCAAAAGCGGCGTGACCTGTCCAAGTTGCTGGTGCGGCTGTGACGGCACCACGTTCACCCAGTGGGCCGTAAATGACATGTACTGTCCCTGACCGTAGTTACAGCTCCACACACGTCGGCGCTGCCGTGCACACTTGGCAGAGACCGACATGCTCAAAGACTGACCCACCATGTCTTCTACATGTGAATGCAGGGCTGGCACTGCCTTTTTGGCGAAGAAATGACGGCTTGGCACTCTCCACCGCGGCGCGGGCACAAGCCATCATTTCTCGGAAAGGTGCTGAGTCCACCACTTGGAAAGGGAGGGACTGCAGCACCAGCAACTTGGACAGGAGGACGTTCAGCTTTTGCACCGTCGGGTGCGTGCTCGCAAACTGTTGTCTCTTGGAAACGGATTCCAAGAAAGACTGCTGACGGAATCCGTGAAGAGGAGTAGCAGGAGAAGGAGCATCTGAACGAGCGGAAGATGGCAACGAGCGACAACTCCCCTCAGCAGAGGTGTTGGAGCCTTGACTGGCTGATAGAGGGCGATTGACGTCGGGTGACGGAGCAAGTAACGGAGCGGGTGATGGAGCGGGGGCTGGGGCAGGCAGAACCGCCGTATCTTTATCACGGTTTTCCCAGGCCACCAAATGGCGACGCTGGCGACGCTGCCGCTGCATATGCTGCCGCAACGCTGTAGTCCCAACATGGCCCCCTGGCCACGCTTGACTTTCTGGCCACATAGTCGACATACGGCTACGTTTACTTCCTCGGGCGGCTTGACAAAAAATTGCCACACCGCCGAGTAGGAAACTTTGCCCCCGATACTCCTCACTGGCTGACTGCTGCTTCCTCCGTGCACACCGGCACCACTACTGGCCGTGGTGGTAGGCTGCAGTGGAGCTGGTGCTGTACTCCGTGGCCGTTTGCCTCCACTGACACTGCTGCGACCCTGCTGCCTCCTGGGCAACCCACCGACTGTTTTGCTCGCTGCCAAGCTGCCACCCTCTTCTCCTGATGATGCGGAAGCAATAGCCTGATGACGACGAGGCTGCCAAGTGCGATCAGCCTCATCATCATCAATTAGGGTCTCCGCCTCACTACTAGCCCCCTCGGCTGCGTGTGTGGGTCAGGAGACAGACCTGTCTCTAGACCGGCTACCGAGCCACTCTCCTCGCCTACTTCTTCGCCTGGCTGCTGAAGAGGCGGATGTCTCCCCCCGTTCCTGACCGCCCTCTGTTAGCTCTTCCTCACTGTACAGTGGGGCTGAGCCCACAGCATGCGATACTTCGCTTGGTGAGGGAACACCAAAGGACAGGGGCAGGTAGAGGACACGTGATTTCAGTGGGCTTGCTCCCGGGCCATGCCAACTAACGGTTGTGTCTGACGTACCCACCGACCGTTGGCTGTAGGTGTCAGAGGTGACCTGGGAAGAGGAAGACGACGACCGAGCCAACCAATCGATGACGGCAGGGTTGTCGGTGGAGACACGACCGCTGGATGACACCGGGAGCACTGGCCTCTGGCTGCGAATAGTGCTGCCTCGACCCCTTCCTCTGCTGCCACGTCTGCTCGCTCCTGAAACATTGCCTCCTCTGCCACTCCTCTGCATGTTGTCTGACATACTCTTTAATTAAATGATTCTGTGTCCCTGAGTAACAATTCTGTGTCTGTCCCTGAGTAACAATTCTGTGTCTGTCCCTGAGTAACGTTTCTGTGTCCCTGAGTAACGTTCTGTGGCCTGAGTAAGTAACAGTTCTGTGGCCCTCAGTAACAATTCTGTGTCCCTCAGTAACAATTCTGTGTCCCTCAGTAACAATTCTGTGTCTGTCCCTGAGTAACAATTCTGTGTCTGTCCCTGAGTAACAATTCTGTGTCCCTGAGTAACCCTCTGGCCCTAAGTAACAATTCTGTGTCCCTGAGTAACAATTCTGTGTCCCTGAGTAACAATTCTGTGTCTGTCCTCTGAGTAACAATTCTGTGTCTGTCCCTGAGTAACAATTCTGTGTCCCTGAGTAACAATTCTGTGTCCCTGAGTAACAATTCTGTGTCCCTGAGTAACAATTCTGTAACAATTCTGTCCCTGAGTAACAATTCTGTGTCCCTGAGTAACAATTTCTGTTGTCCCTCAGTTTCTGTGTCCCTCAGTAACAATTCTGTGGCCTGTGTCCCAGTAACAATTCTGTGTCCCTCAGTAACAATTCTGTGTCCCTGAGTAACAATTCTGTGTCTGTCCCTGAGTAACAATTCTGTGTCCCTAAGTAACGTTTCTGTGGCCCTAAGTAACAATTCTGTGGCCCTAAGTAACAATTCTGTGTCCCTCAGTAACAATTCTGTGGTCCCTAAGTAACAATTCTGTGTCCCTAAGTAACGTTTCTGTGTCCCTAAGTAACGTTTCTGTGGCCCTAAGTAACGTTTCTGTGGCCCTAAGTAACAGTTTCTGTGCCCTCAGTAACAGTTCTGTGGCCCAGTAACAGTTCTGTGGCCCTCAGTAACAATTCTGTGTCCCTCAGTAACAATTCTGTGTCTGTCCCTAAGTAACAATTCTGTGCCCTAAGTAACGTTTCTGTGGCCCTAAGTAACGTTCTGTGGCCCTCAGTAACAATTCTGTGTCCCTCAGTAACAATTCTGTGTCTGTCCCCCTGAGTAACAATTCTGTGTCCCTAAGTAACAATTCTGTGTCCCTAAGTAACGATTCTGTGCCCTAAGTAACGATTCTGTGGCCCTAAGTAACGATTCTGTGTGTCCCTAAGTAACAATTCTGTGTCCCTAAGTAACGATTCTGTGGCCCTAAGTAACGTTTCTGTGGCCCTCAGTAACGTTTCTGTAGCCCTCAGTAACAAATCTGTGTCCCTCAGTAACAATTCTGTGTCTGTCCTTAAGTAACAATTCTGTGGCCCTAAGTAACGTTTCTGTGGCCCTAAGTAACGGTTCTGTGTCCCTCAGTAACAATTCTGTGTCCCTCAATAACAATTCTGTGTCTGTCCCTAAGTAACAATTCTGTGGCCCTAAGTAACGTTTCTGTGGCCCTAAGTAACGATTCTGTGGCCCTCAGTAACAAATCTGTGTCCCTCACTAACAATTCTGTGTCTGTCCCTAAGTAACAATTCTGTGGCCCTAAGTAACGAATTCTGTGGCCCTCAGTAACAAATCTGTGTCCCTCAGTAACAATTCTGTGTCTGTCCCTAAGTAACAATTCTGTGGCCCTAAGTAACGATTCTGTGGCCCTCAGTAACAATTCTGTATCCCTCAGTAACAATTCTGTCTGTCCCTGTCCAATTGAGTAAAGTAATTCTGTGGCCCTAAGTAACGTTTCTGTGGCCCTAAGTAACGTTTCTGTGGCCCTATGTAACGTTTCTATGGCCCTAAGTAACGATTCTGTGGCCCTAACTAACGTTTCTGTGTCCCTAAGTAACGTTTCTCTGTCCCTAACTCTCTCCCTGCATACAGCCAGGTCTGCCTCTGTTGAATGACTGGAGGCAAATGGAGAATTCTAAAATGGCCGCCATTTATATAGCTCGACCATTACACTGTGCTGGCTGGCTGCTGATTGGCTAATGCGATCACATGTCATGAATGAATGCATTATGGGTCAGCGCGCCTTGTCTGCGCGCCTTCCCAGACATCCCCGCTCCGTCGCCGCACATGTCGCCGCCATTTTAGGAAAAATTTTGATTTGCGCATCCGAAGTCTGCTTATTTTCGGATTCGACGCGAATCGAAATTTTCCTAATATTCGAAACGAATTCCACTTCGCCTACTTCGATTCGCTCATCTCTAATTATTAAAGACAAGCCTTCCTAATTATAACATATAATAATTTTATATTAATGCTGCATGAATCATCAAGACAGCTAGTGCAATGACAAAAATAAGTGCAGCCAGGGGTAGTTGTTGTTAGGGATTGGGACCTGCCAGAAATGCGTTCAGCCCCTAAGTCCTGTTGTGGGCCAACAACATTTAGCATTTATGGGTATTATCAGCCTTGCTGAGTTTTCTTTTGCCAATCTACTCAGAAAACCTTGCTCTCCCATCTCCAAAACATAACGGCTAATCATTCTGTAGCTCCAAGGTAAGAACTGGGAGGGCCAATTAATGTCCTTAAGATAACTGAATTGTGCTCAGGACACAGGTCAACTCTGAATTTTCATCATGATCAACAGATATTTTTTCAACTTATCAAACAGAAATAACAAAATGCTTTTACTTGTATATGTAACAGACCCCAAAAACCAAATAAAGAAGTTAATGGTTAGTGTGTATGTACACTTCAAAGGTAGCCTCAAGAGGAATTAGCTTAATAAGTGAGAAAAAAACTATTTCAGCTAGATGTGTCAACAATCAAGGAGGGAAATAATGTGAGTATTAATCAATATGTTAGTTGTGTCAGCAACTAAAAAAGAACAAACTTGAGAAATATGTTTGTGGTTTAAGTGTCTGGAACTGGATGAGTGGTATGAACAAGAGTTTGCTCAGAAGTATGCATTCAATGAATTGTGCTTCTAGCTTGGAGGTTATGTTGGTGTTATCAACACAAATAGCAATACCAACCATTGAAGGGAGAAACTATAAATTCAGTCTTAGATGTCTTAGATTAAGGGAGCTGCAGAAAGGAAAACAAATACCAAAGTGTAGCTGTTGCTCATACTGAACAGACTGCTTGTTTCATCTCTTCAGTACAAGATGAAACCAATCTGATTGGTTATTTTGGACTTCAGCTCCGCTTCTGGTTTTATTTTCATTTCCACATCATGTCGCAAAAAAACTGAGTAGACATTAGACTTTAGGGTGTTTATTTACTAAAGCTGGAGAGTGCAAAATCAGACTCACTTCTGCATAGAAACCAATCAGCTTCCAGGTTTCATTGCCAAAGCTTCATTGAACAAGCTGAGGTTAGAAGCTGATTGGTTTCTATGCAGAAGGGAGTCTGATTTTGGACTCTCCAGCTTTAGTAAATAAACCCTAGATATCACAGGGGTAGTCCTTAGAGTTAGTCAAATGTGCAGTAGAAATTTGAAGAAGGTATACAGATGTTTCTTCAGCGTAATGATGGTATGACTTATGATTGTTGCTGACATGAGTCAACAGACTTGGCAGACTGAAAGCTATTAACTGTAATTCCAGATGTTGGTGATGCTAAAAGAGATGTTGGGAAGAAAAATAGATGTTCATATGAATGATTTATGTAAAAAAATAAATAATTTTATCTTTGCAGTATTTACCTCAAGCATTTGCAGTGTGGTGACTGTTCTATGAACTGTTTCTCTTTATAGTGACCACAAGGAACACACAAAGTACAATATGCTAATGTTTCCACCAAGAAGATCCCTCTGATAAGGATTTTTATTTTATTTTACAAAGTTTCATTGTAAAGTTGAACTAAGACAGGTCTATCAATTATAATATTTCAGAAATGCAATGGATGTTGACCTCATGGAAGGCAATACCCCATGTCATTGACAACAATTTTGCTTCATGTAAGAGGGACTCTTTCCCATGGTGGTTACATAACTCCAGCAATATTATTGTACACCTTATGATATCCATGTACATTTTTTTCCTCTGTAAGTTGTTTTTACAAAGTTGCATTATTATTGTACATGGCCCTTATACCAATGTTGCAAATTTTACCTCACAGTGAGAAAAATCATCCCAAAAACAAAGTTACACGAGCATAATATTCTAAATCGAAACATTTCCATAATATCTTTAAATGTTTATTGGAACTGTGAAAACCACTAGTTGTAATATAATCACCCTGTCCATCACCAATTTTCCACTCACATTCTGAAAGTATGGTTTTGTATTACACATATTTATTCCAGCACATCCTTAGACATGAAGTCCAAAGACCAAATCTGCGTTCAGTTATGACAAATACTGGAGGTTCATGCAATCTAAGCTATGAATTTTATTTGCATTCACCATCTCTTATTTGCCTTGTGTTCACTGCCCAGCTGTCACAGTTGACACCTAAGTCTTCTTTGTGTTAGTCAAAATTTATAGGTACCCTTTGTGTAAAGTTGGCTATGGACTGTAGTCAAACCATGCACAATCTAACTACTAATCTTTTTTTAAGAGTGCCTATTATGTACTGTGAGATGTCTGCAACTGCCTTTTATAAATAGTCATTTGCTGCTATTTGCTCCCAGCAGACCTTCTAATCCCAGTCTCATGCTGTAATTGCAGCAAGGACTTTTACCAAGCAAACAATGTTATTATCCGCTGATGTGCTGTCATTTGTTTAGTGGTTAGCACTGGTTAGATTGGTAAATGAACATGCATGCTTATATCTCTGGACAAGTCATGTTCATGGATTGGGGAAAATCATTCAGACACACGTTGACCTTTTATATTGCAGGGGAAACAATAGTGATTGACCAGGGCAAAACCTTTCCAACCCATAGTCATACATATTACTAGTTGATGTAATGTCCAGCTGGGCCAGATTATAATATTTAAATGCCTTTTAAAGTGTATGGAAAACCAAAACCTGTTTTATTATCTTGGAGACAACGTAGAGGGGTTAACCTGAACTTCTTTTTATCAACGTGAAACTCACTGTCATTGTCCTGGTGATCACTGTTTCAGTACAGAAAGTGATGGATAATGCAATTTTTTTAGATGTTTCACAGGAGGGAAGGGGAAATCTTCCAGTGGGGAAACCTATTTTGGTGACGCTTCAGGGAAATCAAGCTAAAAAAATCCTGATGGGGGCTTAACCATTCCCAAATATATTAAAAGCTAAAAAAAGATTTGGCTTTGTATACACTTTAAAAACATTAAGCGGAATTCAATATGGATTACTCTGAGAGGCTCAGGTCAGTTCTACAACTATCTACTTACGTCAATAGTCTGTGACTTCTTCATGTATCCTTCTAGCAATTCACCTATAAGGTTCATGATAGCATTTCTGTGCCTTTATCATCTTGAGGATTCTGTATTCTGTAAAACGTAACTATATAATAAAGCTTTAACCCACTTCGGCTTATTGTACACGGTTGTCTTGTGTTATGTCTTTGACGTGTGTTTGTGAAATACAGTATTTATAAAATATGGGGGACACAGTGTTTGAATTATGAACCAAATGATATGGAGGCATGTGTTTATTGTTTTTCCCAGGCATCACATTGCATTGCATGTATTTCTCTATACAAGTTAATGGTAATGCAGTGTGAACCCATGGTTAATGCCTGGAAAGCACATCAAATGTATCTGAAATGCAAGCAATCTTTTCACAGAAAGTATCTAAAAGCATGACTTCCTTCTGATTCTGACCATTTAGGCTGTTCTTATAGAAATTTGGCTGCATTTATGACTGATTTGTCAGAAGGACTCTTGCCATAGAAGTCCCAGACTGCAATGAAGATCCAGTAGGGCATTGAATCCTGCACTTTCTCCCATCAGAACAGATGTATCTGTTGTATGCGCCGTTATTCTATGAGATGAACCATACCTTTGATGTGTTGCAATGTAACTTTATGAACCTTGACAGTAGTCTAATTATTATGTTAATATTTCAATTGCAGATAATAATTGCTGTAAGCCAGCTGATTGCTGATGTCGCACTTACCGGGGGCTCCAGGTTCCAGGAATCACTTTCCATTATTAATAATTTCGCCAACAGTGACAGAGCAATGAAGGTATTGTTAATACAGTACAGACTTATGTCGTTTTATTGTCTTATGAAATATGTTTAGTTTGGAGTGCTAAGTAATAGAGTGTTATAATGATTGCCCTGAGTATTTGCAGAAGGAGTTGAGCACACATGGCTAACCAGGATACACAGGTAATATACAAATAACTGAAAAATTCTAAAGAAACCTGCCATAAGGAAACCCACTGAGGTGAATGCTGTCACTCCCCAGTGCCTGTAGGTATGGGCAGAAAATATTAGAGGGACTCCAATGTGACATTCTGGTGAAGTCAAGTATACCACAATGCAATATGGTCACATTAACACTAAATTTTGGTGCAAATACTGAGTACAGCGCAAAGCCTAGAAGTACATTCAGGCATCAGATGCTGTATGCTGGCAGCCTATTGGGTCGGTTTTACAATTATTATCTCATACTTTGTGTATTTCAACGAAAACCTGAAGTCAGGTAAAATATGATAATGCGTCAAAAAACATAACAGGTCTCTTGAATCCCAGGGTGCTATCGTAGGCTAATCAGTACCCATTGTCAAGCGTCTCGCTCTGCTTCCTGCACCTTATTTATGAACAGAAGGTTTTCTATAAAAAAATATTAAGCCTACAGCGAGATGCAGATGAGGCAGCTGCTGTTGTGTTCTGTATAGGCTTACATAAGTCGTATTCACAGGGGTTTTGTCTTCAGAAGCTGACAATGGGTATTTGTAAACAGAGGGCACTGCTCTACAATGCTATCCAACTATACCCACCATTCCTAGTAAGATGACCTCATAAGAAATGTGCATTATATGTATATATGTTATGCTGTATATAACTCAGATTCCCCATCCCTAGCTTTTCCTGACTTTGGATGCTGGGAGGCTGGGCTAGAATAGGAAAGCTTCCATTAACAGTGTTGCCAAAAAAGATAGTAAAGTAATGTTATTACTGGTCCCATGCATTGGCGTCTTCCATGATAGTCTCTCCATAGTCTATAGACAATATGTTCCTTGAAGGGCATTACCCATAGCACCCAACAGTCCCTCATTTGGAGGGACTGTTCCTCTTTTGAGACTAATTCCTCTGTCCCTTGTACAGCCTCAGTTGTCCATCTTTTGTGGTCTAATATGTTCAGCTCTATAAAAAATGTAGGATTTTACTACCAAAAGTGTTATACTACTGAACTAAACTTTATCCAACCTCTATATTACTGTATTTGTTATTTTGAAAAGCAAATATAAAGGCAAAAAAATGAACACGCGTGGTTTAGCCAAACATATTCTGCAGGTTAGAGGTTTGTGGTCCAGTTAACCAGGGCTATGGCAGGGATGTGTCCTTTACCCTACATACTATGTGCTAAAAGGTGTTAGCATTTAAGAAAGTTGGGAGTTATGCATTACCTGTAACATACAATCTCTCACATGGCAGTAGTAGTGTGTTTTCCATTGCCCCGCTCCTTCTGAAGAGCACCTCTGGCCCAGTCTCTTCCAGATCCCCTTGGATTGCTGAGTACTCATAAAATGTCCCCTTCCTCTTTAGTTATTCATTATAAATATTGGAACCTTTCATTCTTCAACCAACTATTCAGTTTTACTTTTCTCATCATAATGACAAACATTCTATCTTTCATATTTTCCTTAAAGCAGAATTCTGGGAAAATGTTTTATTTGCCCGTGCAGTGGCGTGACGCTGGCACTGCACAAGTCAACTGCTCACTTTCTTCTAAGGAATAGGACAGATACACTCACCTGACCTGCCAATCCTCCCCGCACAAGACCTGTCTTTTCGGCTCCTGCCCCCCTGCAGTCCAGCAGTCTTGTAAATATACTTTTCCTGATGTCGGCACGCTTAATGCACAGTCCATCTCTGGACTGTGGGGAGAGCGGTTTTCCATAGGATTGGCAGGTCAGGTGAGTATGAGCTTTGTCCTCACCACTACAAAAAATGAGCAGCTGATCCATGCAGAGGGGGAACAGCCCCACTGCATGGTTAATAAAAAAATTCTGTTCTGCTTTAAATAACACACAGCTTTTTTAAGTTTATATAACTTAGTTTTAAATTAGTTTTTTTCAATTTTACATGTGCTGCGTTTTCTATCTGATGTTTTTGTTTGGAATAGGTGAAAGAAGTTCGTCATGCAAGTCCTGATTCATGGTGTATAACATAATAGTAATGTCAAATTATATATAATAATATAATATATAATATACTGCCAATAGTAATACACTGCTAAAATTGACTGCCCAGAAAGTATACATGCTTTCATGACTATGCACTGGTCATTAAAACTCAAGCTATGAGGGAAGAGCCTAGTGTCTATAGCTCTGTGTAATATGATGATGCTAAATAAAGATGTAAAAATACACAACTTTCATTAAATCAACACACATCTAGATAGTGCAAACACCACTAAACAAGCAAAGCAGTGGACCCAAGCTTCACAGGTAATCTCATCCCATATGGGGTTTAACAGGGGTTGCTGCATTCAAGGAATTAATAGTTTTCAGGGCAATAGTTAAGCCGCAAAAGATTTGATAAATTGCCCTCCAAGGCATGTCTGGATCATTTTGACATTTAAATCAACATTTTATTACAGTTTTGGCATAACTGTTTTCTCTATGACAAAAGGGTTAAAAGGTTTGTAAACTCTATCAATGAACCTCTCTTATTTACTCCCTTTTGGTCTGCCAAGTAAACCAATAAAGGTGTTATGTTATATCTGATTAGATTTTTTTTTGCATGCTAGTCTTATATAAAAAATTAAGAGGTTTCTGAGCATGCGTGGTCTTGGTCACTCAATCTTTTTCAAACAAATACTGCACTGATTAAACAAAAATCGTTAGTTCTGGTATCGTACTTGTCCCTTCGGATAATTTAGCATGAACTGTTGTGAATAGCTCTTGGAAGCTGTGTACTGATGATCAGATTATCAGATGATTGCTTCAAAAGCGGTATTTTTCATCCGATTTTCTCATCGTGTATACTGGGCTTTACTGTGCTCTCTGCCAGTGCACAAGAAGATGTTATGGAGATGAGAAAAGGTCCACATTCTATGTAACCTATCCGACAGGAAATAGGCAGGATTGACACCATGTGATTTGGAAACCAGAGCTGTGTTGTCATGTTAAAGCAGAAGGTAGAAGAACACTATATTTTGTGCACATTAACAGGTATTTTTCTGCATTTGCAGGATAAAACATGGGAAATGTATTTGTGTTCCAAAAATGTACTAAATATGTTTTTTAATTAATAATTTTCCTTTACATACACTTTAAGGCTAAGTTAATGCAGTTAAAGTTTTACAAGTTTGTTTTAGGGATTATTTTAATTGTAAGAGTGTCCTAATGTTAGTTATTAGTAAGGTGTCAGTTTTGCAAGATTTATAAGCTGAAAAAAAATCTGTGCCTTGCTCATTCAGTGCAAAGTAACAGGTTTACTTTAATGCAAGAGTAACCAAAATTTATTAATTGTACAAAATATACTCACAAACAGCGAATGAAATCAGACATGTAAGTACTCACAGGGACTTGAAGATAACGTGAGTCCCATCAAGGGAATGGGGTGTTCAGTATATCTGACGCGTTTCGAAGGGAGTCCCTTCTTCATCAGAGCTCATGATGAACCTGTAGCTTTGCCCTACATTGGCAAATCACAGATTCATTTTAAGGGTATATCGACGAACTACAGTATTATGTTTAAATAAATTGTTTATTTTTTTTCAATTTTGGATTGCTATATAATGCATTTAAATAATTATATAATAAAAACCAACTTACCATGCATGAGATATTTTTTTACAGAATGGAAAACATCTGCTTTACAAATGACCTATCATAATGAGAAGGGGTAAAATTCTTACCCTTGCATATATACACTCTATAGTATTTATAAGCCAGATGTCATTCAAACAAGAATAACCATAATTCTGAGTGTTCATCATCCTTTATGAAATATATTGGTCATTGTTGGTGAGATATACTGTATTTCCAAGCAGATCTGTTCTTAATGGAGTCAGAGACCTATGACATTTTTGACTAACATATAGTTCTTGTACATATATACTGTGTTATGTTCAAAGCTTCTAATTAGGATTTTTCTTCTGACAGGCCACTGCTTTTCCTTCAGAAGTGAAGGATCTGACAAAAAGAATCCGTACTGTTATAATGGCGACAGCTCAAATGAAGGAGCATGAGAAGGACCCAGAAATGCTGATTGATCTTCAGTATAGTTTGGCCAAGTCCTATGCAAGTACACCAGAGCTCAGAAAGACCTGGCTTGAAAGCATGGCCAAAATCCACGTAAAGAATGGAGACTACTCAGAGGTAAATACGGAATTGACATCTTATAGTTGAGAAGGTAACCATGTAACAAAGACCTGTGTTTTTTTATAAAGTAAATTATTCTGTACACAGCAGTATATGGAGTACCTAGTGTACAAGTAGTCACACTTAGCAAACCTAGCTCTGCTAGTGGACCCTAGCAGTACTATTGAATGTGACTGTTCACCTCCTAGCTTTTTTTTCTCACATTTAATAATACTGTTAAAGCCATTCTGACAACAACAAATCACCTAGCAGTAATGGCCTGTATATCCCTGGCAAATAAAGATAATATTGCTATCATAAATTACAATGATTAGATAATACAGTATAATCCTAATAGTGTTTTTTTTTTATTTTGTAGACTGCAATGTGCTCCATTCATGTAGCTGCTTTGGTTGCTGAGTTTCTATACAGAAAAAGTAAGTGAAAATATTTGTTTATATAATGGTATTATAATTTGTTAGCATATTTAGTATGTGAATAAATTGATATTTTGATAGCTAGATAAATACATGCATACGTCGATGTTCTATGACCCCCAGTCTGGATAATTTTATTTTTAAGTCCTATGATATCTACGAATCTACTGTTGCTGTTAAAGCCACAGAAGGTGCTGCCAATTTGGCTAGTAATGCCAATAAGTGCAACAGACTTAGTGAATAGTGAAATGGAGTAGGCCACTCAGACTCAGGGAAACAAAAAACAGCCTTATACAGTGGCTGATTTACAATTCAGAGGACACTGTGCAACAATGTATATACAGTATAAACCAGGGCAATTTGTAAGATGTTTTGACTGGATAGTCTTTCCTACATACAGTATGAGAGATATAACTCAAATTTAATAATGGATACCTGTATATAAGCATCATTTATGTATACAATATATTGTATATCTCTGTCTGCTTATACTGAGCCAATAACTAGGGGTTTATACAAGGATTGTGTCTGCTTCTAGTTTCTAATTCATTACCTCTGGCCATATGCCAATGTATTCTGTTATTTAATCCAGGTTTCTAAACTCAGATTCTTAGGACACTATAGAATGCCAGTGGAACAATCTTGGTCTTATTGTCTGTTTTCAGAGCTCTTCCACACTGGGTGTTCTGTGTTTAAGAAGATCACTCCCAACATAGATGAGGAAGCAGCAATGAAAGAAGATGCTGGCATGCTGGATGTCTACTACAGTGAGGTGAATTGATCAGACTGCCCCTTTATATAACATATTGGGCTTGATGAATCTGGGTAGCATTGAAATGTTCTTTCCTTTTTTTGGGGTGTTCTTAGGACACACATCTTTACCTAAAGCTAAAGTTTAATCCACTTATATTTTGCCTTCCCTAGTTCTGCATTTTCCTCCTCCTCAGTATATTAGAGAAGTACAGCCAAAGATTTTTGTAGCTGCTGACGTTTAATAAACACAAACGCACCTGTCTCAGGGCCCAGCGATGTGCTGACCGGCACTGTGCCTTCTCTATTTCTTCTCTACTCGATGCCGGCACCACAACTGTGGGCACCAGGCTGTGACAGCTTACGGCTTCTTGTATTCTCTACATGGACACTAAACAATATCTTTATTCTTCAAAAATGATCAATGCACATCCATTACCTAATGGTTCTGTGATCTCTTTTTCATGAAATTGTTTTTTACTGCTGGGAATAGGTGAGGGAGAGGATAGCTACAGTACATTTCGACATACAGTGGGACAATGGAGAACACATTAAGCCACCCTCTAACAGAAAGAAAAAAAATGAGGTTTGGATAAGGCTGAGAATAATAGAAGGTACTTTTTTGAGTTAAGAATACTGTGCATACTTGAATAGAATTTTTTTTAACCTGAGTTTAGTGTCATTGTAATCCAGTCAAGTACCCCTCTTCCTGTCAGTTGTCTAGAACCAGGTTATAATAACCTGCAACATCATTACAGAAGTCAAAATAATTATACTGTTTACATTTTCTAAAAGCAGAACTCCAGGCAAAAAACTTTTTTTACGTGTCCTTGTTGCTGATGTTTTTCAAATCAAACTGGTAATTCCCAGGGGTTTCCTGTTTGTAAGACCAGTGGCTGCTATGTCTTCTATTACCCCAGCCACCGGTCTTGGCACATCCCTTCTGTAGTTCTTTCTCCAAGAAGCAGGGATGTATTTCCATCCCTTGCTGTAGCGGGCGGAACAGAACCTTGCAGACCACTGGTCTGTACCACCCATAAAAATGACAGCCCCTCTGGGCCACCCAGAAAGGCTGCACTGGCTGGAGGAGGCAGCTGAGGGGAGGGCAGTTCCACAAGCAGGAGATGGTGAGGCTTGCAAGAGCAGCCTAATGTGTAAAACTGGCCAGTAGCTTAACTGAAAGCTGAGAAAGCCAGCTGTCAAAACTGAGCAGGGATGTCGGGGGTGGGCAGGACGGAAGCAGCTGTCAAACGCCAGCCAATGGGATGGGGATTGGGTGGGCCTCTACATTTCTGGGGCTCTGCCCCCTTACTTAAGCAGCCAAATCATTGGCTGGCGTTTGACATCTGCTATGGTCCTGCCCACCTGGATGAGAGGGGCGGCATACAGAGCAACTGGTGCTCTGCATTTTCCTCCCTGCAGCCTCTGAATGCCTGCGGGAAGGAGAGAAGAAGAAGCAGGCATTCAGCGGCTGCAGGGAGGAGAACGCAAATCATTGGTTTCTCTGTATGTCAGTTGCTACGACTGCCAACTCTGCCTCCTAGCTCCACTACCCGAATCCGTCTTGGTTCTAGGCTGCTCATCCATGGAAGCCTAGAAAATGTATTCTCTGCCAGAGCAGTGCCTAGCACCTGAGTGAGTATATGGTGTGTCCAGGTGTCCTACTGTCACACTGCCCCCCCCCCACCTGTTACACTGCCCCCCTTTCCTGTCACATTGCCACTTTTCCTGTCACATTGCCCCCCCCCCACCTGTCACAAAGCCCCTCATCACACTGCCCCCCATCTGTTACATTACCCCTCTCCTATCACACTGCCCCCTCCCACCTGTCACACTGCCCCTTTCCTGTCACATTGCCCCCCGTCACACTGCCCTCCCTCCTGTCACACTGCCCCCCACCTGTCACATTTCCTCCCCCCCTCCTGGCACATTGCCCCCTCTCCTATCACACTGCCCAATCCCACCCCTCACATTTCCCCCATTCACCTCACTTCCCTTCCCTGTGACCACACTGGAAGAAGACTTGCCCTCACTTCCTGTCTCTGTGACATCACTGGAAGGAGACTTCTTGTTTCTGTAGCACCACTGGAGGGAGGCTTCTCCTCACTTTCTGTTTCTGTGACCCCCACCAGAGGGAAGCCTTCCCCTCACTTCCTGACCCTGTGACCCCACTGGAGGGAGACTTCCCCTCACTTCCTTTGCTTGTGACCCCACTGAAGGGAGACTTCCCCTCACTTCCTGCCCCTGTTACCCCACTGGAGGGAGGCGTCCCCTCAATTCCTGACCCTGGCACAGGAACAGCCATAAAAACATTGTCTGAGGTTCTATGCCTTCCTTGCTTTACTATAATTGTGTTCTTGTCTGTCACTCCATGGGATATGTTTCAAGTAATTAACTGTTGTATTGCTACAGTCTCTGATCAATTAGTTTATCTGCTGTTGTGGCTGGAAGGGGTGAGAGAGTACATGTGATAGCAGCCACAGACAATAACAGAAAACCTAGAGGAGTGAGAAATAAATATTTATTTAAAGTAGACTACATAGAATGAACTAAACATTTTGCACATGTATTCTTTATAAGATTGTCACCTAACTGTCCTGCTGTGTGGTGCTGAGCAGTGGCTGGAAAATGAGGGTGTGTGATTTATGTTGAAGTGGGTGAGTACACATTTAACATGTACAGGCCTAGTGTACCCACCCACATTCAATGCAATTCCTAGAGGTTGATGGGAACAGTAGTTTATTTACTTTTTTTTTTTTGGAAAATCTTTTTTTTTATTTTAAACATATTAAGTTGGTGAAAACATACATAGTACAAACAACAGATGCCCTCACAGGGGCAGGGTCAAAGCCCAACAGATTGAAACATAAAAACGAACTAAAGGTACAAAACAACCCCAAAGAAGAAAAATGAGAGGGGGGGAATCTCACATGATAATCAAGGCCTAATCATTTGTAGATGAAATACCAGGACCATAGCAGATAAGAGGGTACCCAGCTCAAGACAGTGAACAAAGCACCTGGGTGACTACCGATTAATCAATTACCCACATCATTCGCCGCAGTGGCGGTAGAGACAACCTCAAGCCAACATGACCAAATTTTATCAAACTTATGGAGGCATCCTCTATTAGAATAAGTAGTCTGATAAAGGGGTAAATTATAATTCACCAGTCGTTTCCAGTAGGTTATGGCATGGGGAGATGTTTTTTTCCAGCTTAGAGTGATTGTTTTTACGAGCAGAAAATAACAGGATAATTAATAAAGTACGCTTGGCCACAGCACCATGGTTTAATTGCACATAACATGTAAACATTCACAGTGCAGGGAGGAAAAAGTATGTGAACCTTTGGACTTAATAATTGGTTGACCCTCCTTTTGGCAGCAATAACCTCAACCAAACGTTTCCTGTAGTTGCAGATCAGACCTGCACAATGATCTGGAGTAATTTTGGACCACTCCTCTTCACAAAACTGTTTCAGTATAGCAATATTCTTGGGATGTCTGGTGTGAATCGCTCTCTTAAGGTCATGCCACAGCATTTCAATCGGTTGAGGTCAGGACTCTGACTGGGCCACTCCAGAAGGCGTATTCTGTGCTGTTGCAGCCATTGTCTTGTTGAATTACTTGTATGCTTTGGGTCATTGTCCTGTTGCATCACTCGTCCTCTGCGGAGCTTCAGTTG